ATTTCTTACCTAGATTCCTGCCATCTCTAAGCATGATGATAACTTTTTTTTAATTTTATTCTCATTCCAAAATGCTCACTCTAATCTCAGTAAAGCATTATTAATGATCAATTAATAATTATAACACATACAATGAAAAGAAAAATTTTGTAGAATTTGTACACACTATGGGACTCATGGACCCTACCAACAATACATGCTAAAATGCCTCCTGAATTAGTTCTTCCAGCTTTAAGAATATTCTGATAATTTCTCAGTTTCTAACTTTAAATTATCATATCCACTTGCTGGCTGCCTATGATATCACTCTTCACATGTTTCATAGTTTGATCTTTATATTTCACTATGGTATTTATTGTTGAATGGACCAAACCAAACTCATGACTAATAACACAATTCTCTCACCCTAATCAGTTGTCTCTAGTATTTAAATTTTTTCAGTAAAATTAAAACTGTACCACCAGATGTAGCAATATCTGTATCTTATTTTTAAATTTCTTATCTCTTTTTGCTCATGGTACTGTAGGGTAGGGTAAAACAAAATCTTTGGTCGCAATACTGTTCAAATACCTTGTAATGCACACTGTAAACACAACCAACTGTGACCACTTCCCGAGTAATACTTCCAAAAGAAAGGAAACACAGCATGCCAAGAGCAGTAGCAATGGTGTGGCAGTGGACAGGTTTCATATGTGTGCAATGTATGTATCTGCTGATGTATGAACTGTATTGTATATGTATAGGGTTGGACATACAGTATGCACATGTGTGGATGAACATTGGCTGTAAATTATTAAGCAAGCATCTTTGAGAGCAGTATGAAGTAGCTCATACAGAGTATACAATCTAAACAAGAACATTTCATTTTAACTCATTATTTCTTGTTAGTGTATACTGTACAGTATCAAATAACTTTGATAAATTTAGTCATTGCTTAGGCTAGCATTCTGGCTCTCAAACAATTTACTGCTAAAGAAGTGGAGAATCTGAAGTCCAGATATTGTTTGGTCCCAACCATGTCAGTGTGTTGAGGTTACACTGGATTTTAGGTAATACTGTGAACTACCACTGTACAGTGAGGTATGCTATAATGAATGTAATTGGTTCCAGAACCTCGTTCGTTATAACATTCGTTCGTTATAGGATTAATCTGTTCCAGGCCCCCAAATTTAACCACTTAACACTGAAAAAATTCTGTGGAAAATGTAAAAAAATACGGTACTTTATCTTACCTTAGTGTTGTTCAGCATGCAGGACAGGAGGCAGAGGGGGAGGGGGGAGGAGAGAATTATGGAGAAGAGGTGGAAGGAGAGGAGTCATCCTTCCTAGCCCTCTCTGGTGACTGTCTCACAGGCACTTTGTCTGTAGGTTCTTTTGTTACCTTTGTAAAGAAGGAATCCAGGGTTGGCTGCTTCAACCTTGATTTCTGGACCTTCCAAAAGTAGTTCATAACATTGTCATTAAACACACTGATGGCCTTTTGCACAGAACCAACATCAGGATGATAATCCTCAGCAAGTTTGGACAGTTTGCTCCAGCAAAAGAATGCAGCCTCGAGATCTTTGGCTGGAATGATGCGGCTTTTCTCCTTGTCCTCCTCCTCCCCTGACTCCTCAGAAGTTAAGCTCCGCTTCAGTTTCTCATTTTCCTCTTTGTGAAGCTCAAGCAGCTCCTCAGTGGACAATTCCTTTACTGTGCTCTTCCACCAACTCCTCAACATCATCATCATCATCCACTTCCAGGCCCATGGAATTGCCCAGACACAATTTCATGAACAACAGCCTCCTCTTCTAACTCTTCGAAGCCTTCAAAGTCTCTTTGAAGGACACATTCAGGCCACAATGGCCTCCAAGCAGCACAAAGACACCTCACAGTAACCTCTTTCCAGGCTGAGGTAATTAAAAAAACAGCGTCTGCTATATTGAAGTGACTCTTCCAAAATTCCTTCAAGCTAACATCACTGGAAGAAGTGGACGCAAAACATTTTCTAAACAGTGCCTTTGTGTACAGCTTCTTAAAGTTAGAAATTACCTGTTGATCCATGGGCTGGATGAGAGGTGTTGTGTTGGGTGGCAAGAAGTGCACAGTGATGAAGTTGAACTCCTCTGGCAATTCAACCATCAAATTAGGAGGGTGGGCTGGTGCATTGTCCATCACCAACAAAGCTTTCAGTGGAAGATTATTCTCCCTGAGGTATTCCCGAACACTGGGTCCAAACACCTCAATCACCCACTCAGAGAATAAATTCCTGGTCACCCAAGCCTTTGGGTTTGACCGCCACATAACACCAAGGCGGGTCTTCCTAATTTTTTTGAAAGCTCTGAGGTTTTCTGTGTGGTACACAGGGAGTGGCACTAGCGTAGCTAGGGGGGCGGGGGGGGACCGGTCCGCCCCGGGCGGCACTTTTGGGGGGCGGCACTTTTGGATCTGCTCATCACCCATATCTGCAGCTACTGGAGACGTTAATCCATCCCTTTGTATCGGCGGCAAGTTAATCCTTGTCGTGTCTGACCTAACACCTGACCCACATCATCACGGCCACTTCATGAGCTACACCCTAGCTATGCGCCCCCCCCCCTCGCCACACACACAACCTGTAACCTGTTGAGGATTAAGGAAACAACTTCAAACAAGTATGCTTTCTTGGCCTGTGGGGACCCGTCCTTCTAGAAATTAACGACACACAGACTTACCTCCAAACCAAGGGCTTGAACATACAACAATGTGATATAAAACTCAGGGCATTAGAAACATTTCTAGTTGAAAACAGGGACAAGCTAGTGAGTAATGGAGTTAACTATGCCAAAGAAATTTGCAATGATCTGGGGATAGTCATGGAGCGCCAGCGTCGACCCAAAAAGAAGAAACAAATGTTTGGTGAAGGATCACGAGATGCTGAATTGCCATACGACTTTGAATTGAGGAGAGAAATGTTTTCTTCACTGGACAGAGTGATCCAAGAAATAACTTTGAGATTTCAACAGCTTCATGAACTTGCTGAGAAATATGCCTTCCTTACCCCATTGAATCTTTTGGATGATAAATATGAGTGTCAAATAGATCACGATCACGACGACATTGATAAAGAGGAGTTCCTCGTTGAGAGAAAAAGACTTCAGCATTTTGTTGCTGTTGCTGCTATAACTATTAAAGACAGAATACAGACGTGGAAAGAAGGCCCCCTTGAACTTTTGCAGTTTATTCAAAAGTATAACCTTGGGAACTCGGTTCCAAATATAGTAATAATGCTGAGGATTTTCCTCACAATTGCTGTTAGTGTTGCTACCTGTGAGAGGAGTTTTTCGAAACTAAAACTGATCAAGAATTACTTAAGATCTACTATGAGCACCTTGCGGTTGAGAAATCTTGCCATACTGTCTATAGAGCGACAATTGACAGATGAAATAGTTTTTGACAATGTCATTGAAGAATTTGCCAAAAAAAAACAAGAAAAGTTACTTTGTAGAAAGTTGTAGTTTTCATTTCAGAAATAAAGATGGTCCTAATTTTTTACACTTTTTTACTTTTTTCCCTATCCTATATGTCGTTTTTGCTTTTTGTTTAACTGTTACTTATAAAGTTTAAGTATGTTTGGGGTGTATTTAAAGCATACTATATTTGAGTATGTGAAAGTACAGTAATATTATAATGGTACACAAACTATTTAATATATATATATATATATATATAGAGTGAGTCACTGTGCAATATGTATTTTTTGTGGGGGCATAAACTCAAGCCGGCACACACTCTAGCTACGCCACTGAGGCTTTATTTTGCATCACCAGAAGCATTATATGTCTTTCATTGGCTTATGGCCATTTCCTCCTTGGTAATGTATGTATAGGCATTTTTTTCCAAAAAAGTCCAGTTTCATCACAGTTGAATACCTGCTGAGAAACAAAGCCTCCCTCTTTAATAATATTCAAAAAAATGTCATGGTGTTCCTTAGCTGCTTCCTTATCTGCACTAGCAGCATCACCATGTCTCACAACACTAAAATATTTTATTTCTCCTTCTGAAACCAGTAAACCAGCATGCAGGTACCCCTAAACACTGGCACATCACTATCACTTGCACTGGGAGTCTTGGCTTTAAGGTCCTCAAACAATTGTCTGGCCTTCTCACAAATTATAGCTTCACTAATGCTATCACCTGCCATTTCTTTCTCCTTTATCCACACTAAGAGTAAATTTTCCATCTCCTCAATCACATTACACCTTGCTTTGCTAAGTCTAGAGATTCCCTTAGCCACTTGCACTGTTTTCAACTCCTCTTTATTCTTTAAAATCGTACATAGTCGATTTAGCCATCCCATACTCATCACTAAGTTTTGCAATGCTTGTTCCATCCTCACGTTTCTTTATGATTTCTTTCTTAGTTTCAAGAGTTATGAGCTTTCTCACTCGCTTTGGACGATTCATTGTCACAATTGTACACTTGTATAACAAAATATTTATACAAATAACTATTTCCACATCAAAAGACGAAATTTCAACAATAACAGTGGTGCACTGGCTACACAATGAGACAAAGATGGCGCCTGACGCTCTTGTTGTGGGTCACGGTACAACAATATTCATGCGCCAGGCGAAATAGTCCCATATTCATCTGCGTTCGTTGTAGGAGTTGCGTTCGTTATAGCATTCTCAATTTTATAGGTAAAACCGTGCGTTATAGGAATATTCGTAGTAGGATCCGTTCGTTATAGCACACCCCACTGTATCACATCCAGTGAATGGAGGTGGAGAGTTTTGTTATTTGGCAATTTTTAAATATTTTGTCTTATAACATTAAAAGTATGGTTCAATTTTTGTTTCTTCCATGATATTGAAAGCAATGCCTGTACAGTACTGTAATAGATTAACTGAATAAAAGGGGTAGAGTTGCCCTTAAAGTTGTCAACTGTTTAAATGTGTAGTTATTTCAAGTTAAAGTTTACAGTATTAAAAACTTCCCTAAAATGTGATTTACTATTATACTTTGCCTAATATTAACAGGTGACTCAGATTCTGCGTCAAAATGAAGGAGTGGTGCAGGTGAGTGGAGTGGGAGACCAGGAGTGGGTGTCAGGAGAGATAGTACCAGCAGCAACCTACTCCATAGATTCTATAGATTCCAATCAACTGGCATCTAACTCTCCAACAGAAGACAAACTGGCATCTGCTCGATGTCTTCATACCACTGGTCAGTTGGAAGCTGTAGCATTGTTGTTCTATTTATTAAAATATTGTAATTGTCTCCAGTGACCTATTTATGATACAGTAGTAATCAAATATTGGTTATAGGTATATGATGCTACCAGCCATAAGGTAATGGAAGGCTTTCAGCAGTTTCCTTTTGGTAGACACACTGAATCATGGACTGTGTTGTAAAAATATGTGTCCAGATTTCTCAGCTATGTTATAACACTAATATTTTAGTGGATCTACATTGAGCAAGGGATACTGTACCTGTAACCAGTAGATTATTGTATACTATACTCTTGCTTATTTACTAGAGGGCCAAATGTTTTATAAGGATAGACCAAATATTCCCAGTCATTCACTTGTGCTCTTTTTGCAGGTTATCTGTTTGGTGTTTTTGATGGTCATGGAGGTCCTGAGTGCAGTCAAGTGGTGGCCAAGAGGTTGTTTGATTATGTTGCTGCATCATTGTTGCCTCGTGCAGAGTTGCGCCGTGTTGTGTCAGAGTGGAAGGCTGGCTGTCCTGTTCCCCTCACCATGGTATATAATGACCCATCGCAGTTTGTCTCAGAACTACAGGAAATATATGAAGCATCCCTCATGAGGTACTGTGACAATTTGCTGAATTCTATTACTCAGGACTTCAGTATGGAGGAGGCACTAATAGGTGCATTCCTTCAACTGGACAGTGACCTGAGTCGGGAGGTATTAGAAAATCAACATTCATCTGTGCTGGAGCCTTTGCTTCGAGTTGCTGTGTCAGGGTCTGTAGCATGTGTAGCACATGTGGATGGTCCTCACCTCCATATAGCCAATGCAGGAGATTGTGGAGCAGTGTTAGGAATACAAAGACAAGGTGCAGGAGGAGGCTGGCAAGCTCTTCGTCTTACAAATGATCACTCTTGGGAAAATTCCTCTGAAGTAGATCGAGTATTGTCAGAACATCCTCCATCTGAAGCAGATTATGTAGTGAGAAATCAGAGACTTCTTGGAATGCTTATGCCCTTTAGGGCCTTTGGGGACTTTCGTTTTAAATGGGATAGAGATACACAGGTCAATGTAATTCAGCGCTATGCAGGGCCTAATAATATAATTCCTCATTGCCTGACACCACCATACCTCACTGCTTTGCCTGAAGTGTCTTATCATCGCTTGCGACCATATGACAAGTTTTTACTCATGGCTTCAGATGGTCTCTGGGAATGTATGAGTGCTTTAAATTCTGTCACTTTGATTGGAGAATACATGAGTGGCCGTCAGACTCTGCAACCAGTGCGATTTCCTCGACAAGCTATAACTTTAAGAGAGATTGCACATTTATTAGAGCAACGTCAGAAAGGTTTGTGTCTCAAACCTGTCGACACAAATGCATCTACACATCTAATACGCCATGCTCTAGGGGGTTCTGACGCAGGCTTAGACCATGCACGTCTCTCACATTCACTCACACTCCCACCTGAGGTGCGGCGTTATTTCAGGGATGACATCTCTATTCATGTCATATTCTTTGATTCAAACTTCTTGAGAGTATGTCCTGTAGAGATTTAAGTTATAATTATGTATTCTTTCTTGTTTTGATTTGGAATTGCTTAGTTTTGCTCAACAGAAATTGAGGCAGAAGTCACAGCTAAAGTTGAAATATCATCCTTTATGAAGAAATATGTATGATGGTTAAGAACATAAGATAATTAATTTGGCCACTTCCCATCATATAGGTAATATCCTGGTGCTATATATTAACTCTATATGTTTTAGCTCTTTTGGGGGCTGCTCGTCTATACTGTATAGGTTACTAACTTAGAACTGGATGGAATGGGATAAACGTTTTGTATATTACCTTCTGTATACTCATCTCAAGGTTTGCATCAGAGTACATTTGCAGGGATTATTCATTAAAAAGGGAAAAGTATTTGACATCTACAGTTATAAAGGATTATAAATACATTACCTTTCATGTACTTCAGGGATAAACTGCTTGAATGAAGACATTTTATATTTTTAGTTTTACAAATTAACATTTATGTTAATTGGAAAGCTGCAGCTGCCACTTACCATAGGGCCAGTTTGTAAGAACACAGCAGCTGGTGGTCATTTGTCACAGTTGCTTCATTATGTACAGGGTATTTTGGAAATGTGTTTTGCATTTCTAGGGGTGTATGCCTAAGGATAAATTACTCTATGACTATAGTTTCAGTACCCCATAGTTTGGAGTTATGACACATGACAGTTGTGGTTGGAATGTGATAAATTGTATGGGGCATTAATGAAATGTCCATTGTTGTCAGTGCAATTTACTTACAATCATATGAAATCTGATATGGCTTTTACAGTACAGGTAATTGTTCAAAGTTCCGGCCCTCTTTCTGAATGTTACCACTTACGGGTACTTTAAATAGAGCTTGATGTCCAATTTTGTGTTATAACTCTGAAACTATGGAGTATTAACACTATGGTCATGAAGTCATTTATTACTATGTATGTCTCAGGAATACACCCCCAGAATTATGAAACATTTCCAAAACACTCTGTATAACACATGAACCTTACTGTGACCCAGTGGCAAATGTACTCCATTTTGAGTTTTGCCCATGTCAGTAATTTAGATGTATTTGCTGTAAATGATTTTGAAATTGCTATTGCACAGAATAAAGAGGAACTGTTCTTAATATTGAACACTAAGAGGAAAATAGATATTTAGTAGAAAGCAGATTTATAGTATATTATTCAGTACATGTATCTGAATAAACTACTGGTAAGTACAAAATAAAGGAAGTTACAAGTTTTAAAGCTAAACTATGGCAAGATTGGCAGTATTTTATGCTATCACTGTTAACATTATTGTGGAAAATATTTTATTTTCGCCTTCTCTACAAGTTAGCGAAGACAACAAAAACAAGGGTTGTTGCAGTAACTGTACAGTATAAAACTGCCTCCACCTTCCTGAGGATAAAAGCATCCAGGTTTTGCAGGCATTCAGTTGTGTGTAAGACTGATTGTGGTTGTTATTGAAGTAATTTATGGCCAAACACCTGGCTTAGACAACTTTAGTGTACTGACACATCTATAGAGTTAAATCCTGGGATTCACTGACAAGAATGACTGGTACTAAGCCAATGTTTATTAAAAGCCTCTTGTTCCAACCATATTCCCTTAAAAGGGATATTTGTAAGGAAAGTTTACCAATGGTGGTTGGATGCAAATGAGTCATGCCACTACACTGAGTCCATTTATTCTGTCAGTTGAAGGTATGGCTATAACAATCTGTAATATGGAACCAACCACACTTCCTTTACTCCTTGCTAAGTGAAGTTATGGGTTTCCACTGTTATCTTAACAGAAAGCAGGTAAATACTGTACATATTTACATTTTATATAGTACAGTACAGTACTTAAAGAATTTTTAAAATAATAGTTGGTGTTGTGTTTCCCAGAAATACTAGTTCTTTATAACTTTTAACTCCAGGGGGTATATCACGTATATCCTGAGACACAGCCGGGGGATGTATCACATGCCTATTTTTGTATACAGTATATTTTTTTTCTCCCAGATTGGGGAGAAATATGATGCCACCTGCCCTCGGTCTTAACCTATTCACAACTGGATGCCACTTTTAATATAAAATTTGGATGCTGTAGCTTTCCATAAAGCTGTTGTTGAAACTGTTACTGAACCTGAAGTTGTTGTTGAAGCTGCTTATGAGGCTGAATATGACAGTGTAGTTGAAGTTGATGGTTTAGGCCTTTGAATAATAAAGCTGTTGAAAGAACCTTGCACAGCTGCTTTTTTTTTCTCATTATACATCTTTATGTAGAGGTCATATGCATTTTTCACATCCCTGTTAATTTAATGCTTCGTTCTGTTAATGGACCCACTTCAAAAAATATGTTCATTGCTTGCTCCATATAATATCCACAGACCTCTCACCTTTTTCAAATCGTTTTAACACATCTAGTTTCTCGGCTAAGCTTATACACTTTCTTTTACCTTTTGAACCAGCACTACTATCACTTGTTCTCTTGCTCATGTTGAAGAGGGACACAAAAATACTGTAAGAAACCTGAGAAAGTTTTTCTCCTTTACCCGTTCAGATGCATGAAAACAAAAGGCCCACCAAGCTGCGACTGTTTGTACTAGTGATGCTGGCGTCACCACTCACAAGACCGGCAGCCTTCTTTGTGCAAGGCGTGTTTTTTATTTGTATAATAAATATCGGGATTTAGTTATTATTTATATGAAAATTACATTTTTTATTTATTTTTTAATTTTATTTTCATCGAAAATACGAAGAAAATAATGGCGTCAATTGAATTGGGTCCTAAATTAACCAGGGTCTTAAATATTAATCGTCGTTAGTAGAACTGTTGTTATCAGAGGCTTTCCTGTACTTTGTGTCTTTAATACAGTAATTTCTCTGTTAGCCAGAATCCCTCAAACTCGGAACTCTCCAATAGCCGGAATAAAAATGTTCTCGGAAAATTGTTCCCAAAGCCGGAATTTACAGAAAATTCCGGCTTTGGGAAAGATTTTCCCAGGGGCACATTTACCGGAAAATTCCGAGAAAATTTTCCCGGTACCCAGAAATTCAGGGGATGGGGTAGTTTTTTCCGGGTTTGAGAGATGAAAATCAGGCGCATTTTCTGGAAATTCCAAGAACATTTTTCTGTTACCCGGGAAATTCAGTGGATGAAGGATATTTTTTCAGGCTTTGAGAGAGTCGTCTCATTACCCGGAAATCTCTCATTCCCAGAAGTGCTCTGCACCAATTGTTCTGGCTAATGGAGATATCACCGTACAGTGGTCCCTCGATTAACGAACACAATTGGTTCCACAGTCGTTTGTTAACCGAAAATTTCGTTAACTGAATCTATTATTTCAGTGGGATATTGGGTAATTGGTTCCAACTCACAGAAAAAGTACATAGAAAGTAAAGCCCAAAAATGCATAAAGTCAGAAACACTCCTAAAAATCCCCATCGCCCTAAAATCACTATATATATATATACAGTATATATACTGTGTACATACATATACACTAGAACTCTTAAATCACTACTGTAATGTGATAAAGGCGATTAATTTTTATCTCTTGTGCTAAATATATGACGTTTATATTAATTATTCGCTGTCTTGCAAGGATTCCAGCAATTCAAATTATATTCTCCTGACTTTAGTCTGTGATATTATATACCGGGTAAGATAAAAACTGTAAGCCTAAAACCCTGGCTGGGGAGAGGGAGGGAGGGGGAGGTGAGGTGATATGTTTGGCAGTTGGTGCCGAAGGTCCTTAAGCTTGACTAAGTTTTTCTCTTATAAAATGCCACTGAAGCGACCTGGGAGAATATAATTTACATTGCTGGGATTGATTCTTGTAAGATAGTGATCAATTTGAATATAAACATGCTATAGTTTGCACTAGACAAAAATCTTAGTACAGGGGTAGTAATTGTTTAGTACATTATTTTGAGTACATGTACAGTACAGCTTTGCCCTTAGGACAGTGTGTGCATGTAAATGAGTAAAAATTAATTAATAAAGTTAAATATATCGAGCCAAAAATATTAGTTGAAAAACTTTATGTAGACAGAGCTTGGATGGCTAAATTTTAGAATGACCAATAATTTTAATATAAAAAAATGCAAAAATATTCAAGAACACAACTTTCTTGATATTTACTCTACTGGAAACGAATGTAAACGTAGAACCGATTACTGTATTGGCGGACTAGCCAATCAGCTGATCGGCTGATGCACACAACAAAGAATGTTTCTCCTAAGGCTTTCGTTAATGGAACTGAAAATCCTCATGGGAGCTAATTCGTTAACCGAATTTTGTTAATTGAACCGTTCATTAATCGAGGGACCACTGTATTCTACTTTGTGGGAAGAAATAAGAGAAGTGATGGCCCTATGAGTAGACACTCATTTTCACTGAGAAGAATATGGTTCTTACTTGTGTTGTCTTTATTCAACTTGTCTTCACTGTTACATAATACAGTATATAGTTTGAATAGCGAAGGCTTGAAATTTTTAGTTTTCAGTACAATACTGTATACAGTACAGTAATCTCATCCAACGAGGGGGTTTGGTTCCTTGAAAAAGGCATGTTGGACAAATCCTCGCTGCAAATGGTAATAAATTTTGAATTATTAAATAAAATTTTTAAGAGAAACCAGTCTGCTTTCCTCGCAAATGATATAATGAGATTCTTGGGGTGGTGACGATAATTAGCTTTGGAGGGTGAGGGGTTAATGCCTCAAACTCATCGACAGGTAACTCCATTACAGTGGTGCCAGGAGTGGATTCTTGGGCAGTACTGAATGTTAAGAGAAGGACATATAAGCTTACCAAGTAGCAGTGTAACAAACTATTGTATAAAAACACCAGTGAGTGGCAGGAAACACCACACAGGGCACTGGGCCAGGCAAATGCCAATTTCGAACTTAGACCTGCTAGTAATCAAGTTTTTTTTTTCACATTCAGTAAATAACTGCCAATTTTTTTTGAGCAGATACATAATTGAATCCACATTCAGTAGTTTGACTACTATAGTAGGAAAATTGGAGGCAGTAAATTGTTTGCATGCAATAAGCAGCAACAACATCCCCTTCATTATTTCTGCCTTTTGAGTGGTAACAGATGATAAACATTGGGTTACTAAAGGGTGTGATGTGATGGAATGATGGGTCTGTGCACCTTATAGACATAAACAACTGTCCCTATATTGTACTGTATATCTTTAGTGGGTGACTAAGTTTGGGTGGTCTACTATCTTAACAATTAATCAGAGGGTAGAACTGGGGAACATGGTGGTTGCATTTTAAGGTTTTAATTCATGGAGTAATAAAAGGTTTGGGTAAAAAGTAGAAAATATGAACAATATATGGATATTATAAGTTTTACAAAGTATGTTATGTGCTTGTATGGACTGATAATGGGATGGCCAGTTAATAATTGAAGTTGAAGACTGATAAGGAGGTTTTTAAGATTACAGTACAAGAATTCTTATTTTATAATATAATAATGATATTAAAGATGGATTTGTTTGAGAAAAGGAAGTACAGTAGTTATTGTAAAACAAAATTTAATTTTTATGTAGTCTATTAATATTATAACCAGTAAGCCCCTATTAACCATGGTGACAATGCTATAGTGAATTTTTCAAGAAATTTGAAAATAAATATAAAAATATATACAGTACAGTATACAGTATGTTATAAATTGAAAGAAAATCATCAAAATAGGAAGAAAAGCAAAAAATAAATATGAATTACATCTCAACTCATGTGTGGCTAGACTGGCGAAGGGAGTACTGATGGTGGTGATGTTGACAAACAATAGCCTGCAAGATGGGCCAGCAACAGTAAAATTCATAGCTTCTACCGTCATCATCAATGTCCATTTTTTCTATGCCACCATCAGTATCTTCACTAGTATCCAATTCACTATATGTGTATACTGTATACATAATCATTCAAATAAATACTTATACAGGACTTATAATCTACAGATGTGTTCATACAGCCTCACCTCTAACCTTATGCAATTTTACTCAATTATTATTGAGGCACAGTATTACTCTTCTTGAAATGCAACTACAAGAGAATCCCCAGTTAGGTCTAATGATATTCCAAACATGCAGGTGTCTGGTAATTTGGCACACAGTAATTTTGTATAATAAGTCTACTTAAAGCAGTGGTTACCAACATTTTTTGGCTGCGACCCTAAATTTCCCAACAATACAGTGTCGTGACCCTCAGGCATATAATATATTATACGTATGGTTTGAATGTTAAGCAAAATTTTTTTTGACTGATAAGTATTATATTTCTTAAATTGTCTGAAGGCCCCATGCGACCTGAGATTGGGAACCGCTGACTTAAAGTATTAATGCGTTTTATCTAAACCAGTTCAACAACTTGGTAAGTAATACTGTATAAAGCTCATGGTATTACAGCTTTGTACTGTAATGCATTTTTTTTTTACATCAATGATGTTATCTTTTGTGCGTATTACTATTACTTGTTCAGTCCATGTTAATCAATTCATCGATAATGTTTTTAGGTAGCTAACGTATTTCTGACATCACTTTACTTAATTTCCTACTCCTTTAGTTAATCATACCTTGGGATGTGTATACAGTAATAGGTTTTAACTCATTCCAGAGGTGTAACCTGTGTATCCCAACTGGAGGTTACAGTTGTGCCTTTTGGTACATCAGCAATAATGACAGGCTACCTAATTAATTGTAAGCATATCAAAATATCTCACACACACATGCATACATACATTTCTGTACATGTACAGATATGGGACCATTTATTCAGTGTCCTGGTATTCAGAACGCTCCAAAACCTTTTGAGGACTTACACAATGAATTTTATTTTATTTTCTACAGTTCAACACTTACCTTCATAACACAGACCTCTAATTCTTCTGGTACACTTTAGGCTAATTGCACAACTACCATTAAGAGATAGCCAGTGCCTGACAAACACCGACTATACAGTTAGCTGTAGGTAACAGGAGTATTCTTGGCAGTACATAATTGTGACTGAAGGCCAGTATTTACAATATAGAGAATTCAAATTTACAAACTGATTATGGCAAGAAACCGAGATCTAATTAGCAGTTCATAATCCTTGAAGAACAAGGCATGTTGCTTTACATACTACTTTGTGAAAAGATTAAGCCAAGTGCAATGGATTTGTCAAAAATCTTTGAAATTGCCCCTAACATTCAAACAACAAAAATGGCATTTGGCAAGAAGT